AGACAAGAGAGGCACCGAGAGAAAGGAGTCGAGAGAAGAATGAGAGTAGTAGATGAGAGAAATGAGACGAGAGAATGGAGAGAGGAGAGAGCACGAGATGAGGATGGAAAGAGAAGGAGCGGAGAGACTGAGAGTGGGGAGAGAGAAGATGGTAGTGAGAGCGAGAGAGGTGAGATGAGGAGAGAGAGAGAGGAGAGTGATGGGGGAGAGAGATAGAGAACGCACCTTAGTTGTAGTCGGCCGGGGAAGGCAACACAGCGAGTTTGGGTGACGCTTTCAGGGTTCGTTTTTCCACTGATCTTCGCATTTGTCGGGTCGTCAGTGCAGCTGTGCGCTGGTGTATAGCGAACGCTATCACACACACTCATACACACCACACACACCACACATCACAACACACACACCGCGGCTGCGCGCTGCACGCATCGCCGCACGCAAGCCACGTCACCGCACGCACGCTACGTCCACGCCACGCACGCACGCACGCACGCACGCGCCACGCACGCAACACGCGCCGCGCGCACACACAGCAAACAGCCACACACTGGGCGGTTCCGAGAGAAATAACTGGCTGGCTATAATTTCAAAACGTGAATGCGGGCGATTGTCCGCGCGTAGGCGGACGTCCGTCTTACGCTGGTTAGTAGGGTAACAAACAGTTGTTCGCCTGTTATTACCAGCATTCATTAGCTAGCGGGTTAGCGATGGCTCGCCAATGGGCAAGCGGTGTCAGGGTGGCGGGGTGGGGCCGTTTTTTGGCGTGCAGGGTGGCGGCGGTGGTGCGTTTGCAGGCAGGCGTGTCGGTTCGGTGGTCGGGGCGTTTTGCGTGCAGTGGTGGCGCTTGGTGGGGGGGCGTTTTGCGTTGCAGCGGGTGGACGGTGGGTGGGTGCGTTTTGGCCGTGGCGTGCGTGGCGGGGGGTGGGGCGTTTTGCGTGCAGGGCGCGCAGGTGGTCGGCGATGGCAATCAGTTCATCGATAAATTTTAGTTATATATCAGTTGGGAAATCTGCAACTTTACCGTTCTTGTGCTATATGACATCGCGTATCACGCTATCCATGTTATACCATAGGTGTGCGTTTTTGTTTTTATATCTGCTGTTATTTTTCTGTTTCTTTTTCTGTTGTGGTATTGTTTTTATTTTTGTATAGATTATTATATCAATTTTTTGTTTTTCAAGTATGTTTTCTTTGTCTTGCTTCACGCTGACAACAAAAACCTGTCCGTTTTTTGGAATTTCAGCCGCCGAAATATTTGTGGTGTTTATCGTGCATTTGAGCGCGCTCCAACAACGCGAACTCTCCACTAATTTGTAACTCAGTTAATTCGTATGCGCATTGATAGATGTAGTACTATATCTCTCACTAGTAATTCATCGCATCAAGCCTTATATTAATGGATAATAGATGATTATTCGGAAATGGTTGATATATAGAATGATCTTTGATACGCATATCATAATTGCATTGCAATCGATTCAACGGATTTGTATAACTATAGTTTTTAGATCATCGATGACATAATTAACTAATTTTTGTTTTATTTATTATCGGTCTTGCCTATTGTTGCAGGAGGCTTATAATATGCCCATTTTCGCAAAAATAACCGCCTCGTTATATTGATTGTTAATTATAATACTAATTGATAATAATTCTATAGTTACTCCGATACTAATTAGCTATAATTATATTCATGTGTTGAATAGTTATGAACAATGTTAGGCAGTCTGCTTCATGCAATATTTTAATGCATTTGACTAGGTATTTCATGACCAGATCTGCTATTGACAGTTTTCTGAACCAACATGCTAAACGGTTGGGCAGTGGTCCTATTGCAGAATTCTAATTTTGGCAGTGAGAACACACCGGTGCTTGTATAGCGGAACTTGACATTTTTGAATTTGCGGATAGTCAATCTTCGCTTTCTATCCGGTTGCAATCTGGGGTAACACAGCGGATCCGTTGGCACTGCGGGCATTAGGAGGGGCATGGTAAATTACGTAGCTGTTCACATGGAGCATCAATATTCGTAATAGAACTCACGTTAAGCGTTGCTTGATTGTGCGGTCGCTGACATTGACTGTAGCGCGAAGACTATGCAGACTGACCGTACCGACTGCACTCAACAGAGTCTTTACTTTTATTGATACGTAGTCCTGCTTACAGAAGCTATAGCTAACGACTGAGTGTAATCACGCGTGACATATCGTACTTACAATTCGCCATGATGCGTGACGTGTTCCTGTTTGAGCATTTGAATGGCGCGCAGCTCATCTCATCCCTTTCTGTATTCAATTTGATTTCTATCTCCGATGACATCATATTCCTCCCGTCCTGCCTGTGTTTGCTTTTGCTTACGAATGGCCGAACAATTGCTGTAATATTGCTCTTCTGCATATGCGCCGTCATTATGCTAGTACATTTGCGAAATTTGATGTGCCATATTCTTTGCAATATTCTATTCACGCAATGAATACACTGTCGAATTCCATGAAGCTCGGAGCATTTTTTTCGCGATAGATCATCTATGGCATTTGTGCGATAAAGAACGGCCAACGCTCGACGGCTACTCACAACATACGCATTAGATATTACACACGCGCGCGCGCGCACGGCCCGCACGTACGCATTTCAGTCTCAACATAACTCTCCGCCAGTCTCGCGATACGTAGCGCGCCATGACCAGTGTCGAACGCTATGCATGCACAACCTCACTCGCGCACGTACTTTACACTTACCTCATCTCGCCCGCTCTAGCACCTATTTATTATATTCTATATATATTATAGATATAATAGAGAATAATACTATACATCATATCCTAATTTATATATTCCAAAATCCTGTATTATTTCTATGTTATTTATTATTATTATATTATCGGTGTCGGGATACACTCAGAAGCAGACATCTTGCCCGCAGACAGTTGACAATGACGCTCCCTCACCCCAATAACCCCTTAAGCAGTTATTGTCAACGACAAAGTATATACAACGTACCATTCTGTTGGAATTCGAGTCTCATCCGCGCAGAGTCACCTATCGCAGCTATGCTCATTCTCTGTCCAGTGATGTCCAGTATGGTCATCCTGACCGGACCGGGCGCGAGGCGGGCCTCCAGATCTCCTAGCAGATTTATCATGCTGCAGAAGGTGACGTGAAAAAAAACGAACCTCATTAGCGATTTTTTATGTTATACGCTCGGGTATAAGCGCAACGCGTTGGTACGCTCAACGATGGCAGTTATATTTATTTGGTCCGTGAATGAATAGCCTTACTAGAACTAAGTGTGGCCACAATAGCGCGGTCAACAACAAATTACGACGGTGGGTCCTGACCGTACGTATACGGGGCGGGTTCTAAATTAAAGGGGGAATCGATATTCGTAAACCGATCGATCCAAATCGGTGGCCAAAACAACGTGCGCTGAAATTATATCTAGTTTTTGACTTTATCTGCGATTCGGCACGGAAAAGTTCGTGTGACAGCCATGATATTGATATCACGAAGAGCATGGGCCTCGTCGCCTCGTCGCATCTCAAAAGTATTCAGTCAACCCGTTGGCGTTTGTATGGAGTGGTCTGGCTATAAAACCGCCAAGGTTGTCTAGAATGCAGGTGCTCTCCATGTATTATGCAGCAGCGCGCTGCTGCTGCTTGTATTTGCGCAAAGTAGGCGTTAAAGTATTGGCTTAGTGGTAGCGTTCTGCCGACTAACTGGCATGTATAATTAATTCGCCCCTTGTTAAGATGTCAGCTCTTGGCATCGCCTCTAAAGGTCACACGGACCACCCGCTGAAATTCAGCAACAGTCGTCGTGATGGCATGGACAATTTGGTTTTATAATCGATTAAAATTGCCTACGTTTGGGAGGAAGCGCGTAGCAAAAAGCAAACACGAGCAAAATAACGATATGCTTGTTGAAATCTTTCTCCTCCGAATAAAAACTGGTGTGCCGGCGTGTTACGATAGAGGATGTGGATACATTTCAGTCAATTACAAATGCAATTGCAAAGGAATGCCGTGAAGATTGGCTCGGACTGAATCTGTGTTGTATAAATAATGTTATTTCTATTAAATCAGCGCATAACCGCATAATGATGACATATCGCGATCGCTGAACCCGGCCGCGCTAGCGACATGGCTAGGTAAGGTAGATGCATAACTGATAGATAGATTTGCTTATCAGTTGATTAATTTATTTGATTATTTGATTGATTGCATGAATGCTTGATTAGATAAATGATTGATTTATTCTACTTGATTTCTATTGATTTCTTGCTTGCTTGCTTGATTGAATTCATTTATCTATGATTGATTAATTACACGCACTGATTAGATAAGCATTACCACACACAACTCACGATCAAGGTGAGCATCAAGACCAATGCACCTGGGTTGCGCAGATGCGCCAATCGTTCTATTCAATTGCGACATCACAGCCTAACGTAACGTAACATTTAAATTGTGCGTAGTGACACCTTTGTTAGGCGCAGATATGCAGATACGCAGTTGCGTACACATCATTTCAGCAACCTTCTGCATTCTGCATACCTCCCAAATCCCATTGGTTGATACAAATCGCGTGCGTGAAACTCCTGTTTTATGGTGCGTTGTGACCCTAACCCCTAACCCTTACCTTATTAAAAAAAATTAATTGTTGTAAAAATTATTTGTTGTTATTAAAATGTTGTAAATAAATCATGTAAATATTTGCGTTAATTGGGAAAAAATAGTTAAATGGATAAAGATAGAAAAATACAGAAAACAGGTAAATAATAAACAATCAGATGGGATTCGATGCAACGACCTTTGATCCGTGACGCCTGTGCTGTACGCGTTCGGCTATCCAGGCTTATTTGGTTTCTAGATTATGGATGTGCCATGAATATGATAACACTGTGACGTCATTGAGGCAGTTCAGGAATCCATATTTAACCCTCCTCTTGAGGATCAAAAGGTTATCAGACACTTACTCTTCGCACGCCAGTAGTAAGCACATTTCATGGTTCTTTCAATAAAGTGATAAAAATGGTAGGTCAGCGTTGAAACAAAAAAGTTTTTCACTCTGTCCATTAGGCCATGTCCTCAGAAAATGTCTGATATCTGACCTTTCCCCACTGCCCTTTGACTGTTGACCTCCAATTTTCGCACTGGTGATTGGGTTTCCTGCCATTCACACTATAACCACGAAAATTAAAGCATAGGTCGAACCGTTAAGATTTGTGCCGCATTCCGTATTTCCTACCTATACCTTAAGTTAAGGGGAAATATTTCCCCTAAGTTTACACATCTTGACCTTTGACCCTTGACCCCCAAATTTGTCATCTTGAGCTCCTTTTCACGATCCCCCCGACGTCCCGAATATCTGACGCGTACGTCGAGCGGTTAAGATTTTGTGCCCAACTGTTGACGGACGGACGGACGACGGACGGACGCACGGACGGTACGCACGCAGATCATGCGATTCTAAAGCTGCATCTGACTACGTCAGATGAGCTAATAATAATCATAATAATTCTTCTTCTTCTTCTTACTATTATTATTATTATTATTATTATTATTTCATTATAATTATAATAATAATTATTATTATTATTATATTAATAATAATAATGAAAGAAGAAGAAGAAGAAGAAGAAGAAGAAGAAGAAGAAGAAATAATGAATTACCTGACATTCACTGGCCCGTTGCTTATCGTCTTCTCAAGAGTATTGTAGCGGCACGCAACTCTGTAAGCTTTGTCCTGCTTTGTCACCAGCATGGGGTGATGCTGCACGACAACCGTGTTGACAAATACGCCGACATCCTGAATAATAAGGTCAAGATCATGTACAATAACCATTATAATTGACGGCAAATATACTAGCTGTCTGTGTGTGTGTGCGTGCGTGCATGCGTGCGCGCGTGCGCGCGCGTGTGTGTGTATAGTAGATATTCGCGGGACAAGAGACTGTGACAGGTGTGTGAATTCCCAGCAACTGCGCTGTTTTCCAGTGTTAGTGTTACACACTGGTTTTGCATTCCTCGCGACCGCGCGAGTTGAAATATACACGCGGGGATAAACGCGCGGACTCGATAATATGGGAATTTTCCCCACACTCGCCTATACCTTCTGCACTGTGTTGCACTCGGGGCTGTTCAGCGGGATCTCCATTTCGAATCGCAGTTCGTTCTCGATCTGTTTGAAGCAGGTCTTGCTGCGGCCCTTTGCGTACAGCTTGCCCGTGAATGGCTGGTCGGCGACTTGGCCGAATACAATGGCGCCATCGCGGCAATTCGTGAAAACTGAGATAAAGGAGAAAAAAGAGATAAAAAAAAGCATGTCCGCAAGGTCGCGCGCTTCCTTCGCTTCGCGAAGGTTTTACTATAGAGATTGCGAGGTCGATGACAACAGCAGTAATAAACTCACAAAAAAGAGGATTGCCAAACTTTGTTGGCTTTTTTTGTTACCGGGCTAAAATATTAAACAATGGGACGATTTTATAGACAATTTAAAACCGACTCGAATAAACGGATGTGTTTTAGATGTAATTTGGCTATCGCATGATGCTAGCGAATGAACACCCAATTGCCCATATGTTTTATAATGATCGAGTAATACACTATCTATTCACTTATAGCGAATTACTAATCACGTATAACTACCGGTAGCTATAAATGCATCTTTATATGCAGGAGTGTTAATAATATAGATCCATATTACGACAGAATCTAATGAAGATATATAATCTTATATACAAATAATATATATATCAAGAGTACATAATAGAGATCTCTATTATGTACTTTTGATATA